ATTCTCTCCATACCTTTTCCAGTTCATGATTATGCATTTGCTGTTCAATACAGCAGACAGACATGGGCTTCTTCCCTGTCACCGTCTCCCGCCAGCTGCTTTGTTTCTGCAGAGCTGGCTGCTTCCTTGAAAGGTTTCCACTTTTGTCCTTGGCCTGCCTGACTTCTTTTCCTCAGATTCCTGGTTGCTGTGCCAAGGGCTGGCGCGGAAGTCCCTTCTTTTCTGTGTGCTGCAAAGATGAAAGTGACAAAGTGAGTCTGATCAGTTCAGCATTGCACTTTATTCAGCTGCTCTTTTATCCTTCAGGGAACTTCCTCTGTGGAGATGGAGCTGCAAGTTAATCTTTCTGACTTTGTTCTGGCATTTGAGCCACAAATATCCAGTTTCCTCTCTTATTGTCTGATGCTTTGTTTATGTCTCTCTGCTACAGAAATAGAGCAAACTGTCTTTGTGTTAACATTGTCTGCATGCTCTAACCACTGAATGATGATGAGGTTCCGGTCCAGGGTTGTGCTGGTATTTCCTTTTTTCCACCTAATTCTGAAGAGCAGTGCCAAGTGGCTGAGTTGTGTTCCTGCACATCCGTAGTACCTGTGTACTACTGGTTTGTAGCTATCTAGTTCTGATGTTTGTCAGGTAAGCAAAGTGCGGGATGTGCTGGCAGTCAGTGGAGCTGCTGGAGCCTCGGATTATGCTCAGAGAGGCAGATGGTGCCTCAGCCAATGTTGCACTGCAATGGCGATGTCTTGCGTGAGGCCTTCTGTGCTGCGTTGGCTGCACTCCAGAGCAGTTCATTGTAATTGCTTACATTTCTGTTTGTTTGAGTGTTAAAGCCTATTTAAACGCAAACTGAAATCTCTAGCTAGCAGCAGTGGTCGTAAGTTTCACTGAAACACTTCAAGATGCAGCAATCTTGTAGAAGGGCTTATCCATTAATTCATGCATGTTTTCAGGAGCTCTGTTGCAGAGCTAATTGTCAGATGGCAGTCTCGCCAAGCAAGTATAGTTCAAATTGTCCCCAAGCTTCCCAAGAGGGAAACTTCAAATGCTACAAAAATACCTCAGGTTTTGTCCCTCTTGCTGTGAGTAATACAATTTTGCAATGTAATGTGTAGAGGCATATGTTGATTGCATTTGGAGGTAGGTGAAATTAAGGATCCATGACTGCCAAAGTGAAAATGTAGCAACCCCATGATTACTGCTTCCCTTTTGGCTTTTTCCCTTCCCTTCTCTCTCCTCTGCAAATACATAATGAATTCATCTTAAGAGGTGATGAGAGGGAGTCTTTGTGCACACAGTGCTTTTTGCATTATTGGACCAGTATTATGGCAAGCTGTGATCTTCCTTTAGGCAGCACTGAATGTTGGAATGGTCTAAATGTCTGCTGTTGCTGGTTGAGAAAGAATTCAAGTCAGTAAAATATCTGCAGTGCTTCGAACTGTCTCAAAATGCAGTTTGTTCAACTGATAGCAGTGACTCTGGATAATTGACATTGTAGAGTTCTGTTCAATAATGACTACATAAAATCTTTTTTACTGGTGAGCAAAAAATTCTTTTTGCCAAACCAGCCTTGTGATCTAAGAATGGAATTAGAAAGCCAGATGTTGCATTTTTCTGCATGTTGTTCTTGCTAGTAACCACCATTTTACACCTACTGTAAAGGTATGTGGAATGCATTTTAGTACGTATGGTAGCCCTATAACAAGTAAGATGCAGCTAGAACAAATAGGTTTTTAACAAAGAAATTGAATAAATGATAACACTGCACAGTTATATTTTACTGCGTAATTCTCCCCACAAAAATTCTGAGCCGCTTTGATCCAGGTCTTGACTTCTCCTATGAACTGCTTCCATGGGAAATTAGAGATGCAGACATTTAATATGCTTGTAATTCAGCATTTCCTTTTAAATAGTGCTTTAAAGATCAAAAGAGCTGTGATCCTGTGTCATCTATATTTTATGGAATGAGAAACTTACTGTCCTTACACTGCTCTAATTGTCTGCTTTTCCTGTCCTCTTCCTGCCCTTGCTTTATTTCAATGCAACTGTACTCATATTTAATTTAGGTGGTAAAGTAACTTGCATAGCTTTCTTTGGCCAAGTACTCTCGGTACAAGTAAATGTGATAAGTATCAGCCAAAGCCTGCAAGCTGGGTTGGCAATTTTAGTACAAATCTGAATGTTCCTCAGATTCCAGGAAGGCTTGGGAAATCAGTTTAGGAATTTTATCTGCTGTTCTATGTGATGTTTTGGATCTTTGTGAGTCACTTTCTTTCTCGAAGTGGCCAAACAGCATTTCAAGAGTCCTTCTGTACTGTCTAGAGTGGATTAATAACATTTTTTTAAATTCTCTATGCTTTATTTATGCTTTAATATATAGACTCAAGAAGATATACTTAAAGTTTTGACATTTCAGTTACTTACAATTGTGAGGATACCACTGAAATTTTTCAGTCTGCTAAGCTGACACTTGCTGAAAAAGTAATATTAAGAGTCTACTGCGTGATCCCACTGTGATAGCTGCTCATGAATATTTTCTTGTAACTGAAAGGCTACCATTCAATAACATTCAGAACTTCTGACCTATGGGCAGGTTTAAAATTAACTTGAAGTAAAGACCCAAGTTCACAGAAATTTTTGAATGGTTGAATTTTTTTTCCTGTGTGTTGAGCACAGGAAAATATACTTAACAAGTTATAACTGCTTTTTTCCTCTAGTTGGTCTTAGAGTAGCAAGGCAGAAGGGAAGCTGCCTGAGACTGGCTCCTGTGGCTTCCTTGGTCTCCAGCAACTTGTGACATCTTGTTCTTGTGACTGGATTGCTGACATCAGAGGTTCCTCACTGCTCATCTTATCATTTATATAACTGCTGAAAGTGGCTGTTCCACAGCAATACTTCCAGAATCTTTGCTTTATCTTTGGTTATTTCTGCTTCGTCAGTTTTTTTAAAAAGATAGAGGTGTAGTCTTCAGCAGAATGAGACGTGTTTTTGAAGGACTGTCATACAAATTATAATGAACCATAAAATATAACAACCTTGACAAGAAATCACTGCTGGCTATGACAACTTTCCTCCTTGGATCATAGACAGGTGCTATCTTAATGGAAACTCCAAAAGTGAGGGGAGATTGGAGAGTTATTTCAGCATTTAATGTAAGAACCAAATGACTGCTGCTCAGTGCAGCTTCAGGAGTTGGAAAAATGAAAGCAATCCCAGTAGCAGAATTAGTGGGCAAAGAAAATGCCTGATAAAATAAATGCTATTACATAGTTCTGCAATTTTCCATGTGTACTCAGAATTTTGTGGACATTATTTGTTGTTCTTTGTACAGACACCTGTTCCTGAGCTTTCCAGTACAGTGCAGGAGCAAAGCAAGTTTTGATAAACAGAAATATCAGGGATACACTATATAAACCATTTGAGTTAAGGATGTCTTAATTACTTCTACAGGATATGTGAAAATAGAAGTTTTTTTAATCAAGGTCTGATTTGCATTTCACAGTTGAGACTTTATGACTCTGTTCTGGTCATTTATCTTAGCACTGAGAAAATGTAATTCCAAGTAACATGGAAGGTCCAAAATGAATTCTAGAAAGTAAGGGAAGGGCTAAAGATGATGATTACTGGTTGTGTTTCATTTGTGGTTTGCCAGCCTTGGTACTTGCCATGTTGCTTCTCTTTTCTGGTTCTGAGCAGCTTTCAGAATAATATACAAGCTTCTTTTTATATGCATATTTGTGTGTTTGTGTGTGTTTATATATATATGTATGTGTCCATAGTCAGGAAACAGAAATGTCTCCTGGCAAAACACATTAACTTTTCTTAAGTTACTGCATTTCTTGTTTTTGTTTGTTTTAAAGGCTGTTTTACCTGAGTGGTGTGCTGGCTGCTCATGATGTACTTTTTCATTGTTGTTTTTAAAATAAGAGGTATGAAGAGAGCTTCTGGACATCTGTTATAACTCATAGTTGCTATAACTTCCACATTTGCCATCTTCTATCCATCATCTGTTCTAATTCTCAAATAGTCAACATACACAGGATTTCATATGCTCTCCCATAGACACATCTTTAGTTTGTATTCTCAAATGGTGCATAAACATATTTGCTTTAGCATATTCTTTGCTTGTTCTTGGATTTTAAATCCAGAATCAAGAGCACATTGTCCTTCAAATGACATTTCAATATGTTTAGCATCTCCTGATAAAAGTACAAGTTAAATGAGCTCAGCTGGCAGTTTGCAGGATATATTTGGACTCTTTCTGCTTAGATTAACAGGACTAAATCTTAGATGCATTTGTAGTTATGTCAATTCAGATGAAGTCAAAGCTGTCATTCAAATATCTTTCGGCTTTACATGGAAAAAAGTGATTGTGTCACTAACAATATCAAGTGTCATTTTCTGATCTTGACACTGCATAAAACCTTCACCACTTGCATAGTCACAATACATACGTGGTAGTACTTTGGAAGTTAAAAATTTAGATGGTATTCTGCATGAAGTCATGCATTTTCCTTTTAAGGTCTGCTTTGAACTGATGAGTTGGCAGTTTAGTCACCTACTCTGTTTTCAGTTGCTGCCACCAAAGGACTCATAAGAGTGCTGGAGTTGCATCTTGTTATGTTACATTTTTTGTTATTCCATCCTAGTGCAGGTATATACAGCTACTTATAAAAAGTGTTTTTGGCCATTTTAGCTTAATTCATTCTGTTTGCTTTACAAATTTATGACCTGGTAAAGCAATTGCATTTAATTCTGATAATTCTTTGGACAATTTGGGTGGAATCTTTGATAGGAGTACTTCATGTACCAGCTATGTGTCACCTCATCCTATTAAAAGGGGAAGTTTTCTACTTCATAATAGCAAAAAGATCTGAGCTAATATCATTCCACAATTCTGTGATTCTATGTTTGATGGGACTGATAGAAGTTGTAACGATATTATTAAGCTTGCTAGTGTTCATTGATGGATGCCCCTGCTCTGCAATTTGTTCAGATAGCAGGAGGAGCTAAGTCTCTGAACCAAGGAGATAAGGAAGTTCTGCTGAGTCTTTGTACCAAGGAAACAGGAGGTCCTGTTTGGAAATGTTCACTGAATATGTAATGTACTCTGAGAAGCTTCTGCATATTTAACATACCTCTTGGAAAACTTCGGCATATGTAGCATAAGTAATGCGTATAAACTGAGGATCTTTTTTGTAAGCAATGCATTATAGCAGGAGAAAGCTGCGCTGATGAAGGTGTGAGAGACACAGGATAGAGCTGAGGCATTAGAAAAGACAAAGCTGGAGCACAATATTGTCTTTAGCTTGAAGAGAACAAAACTGGGCAAATGAAGTTGTGAAGGTGTGTGTGTAATGGCATTAGTTTAGTCACAAAACATTAGTGTTTGCTTGCTGTGAGGGAAAATGCAATATCTCTTGCTTTAGTTTGCCCATTGGTTCTAGAGTATGCTGATGTCAAGGGGAAGGCTGCATATGTCATATATGGCACCTGTCACATGCAGAAAACCTGATGTGGAACAAAAACTGTAACCAGCTGTGCTTTTGTTAACCCAGAGAAAACTTCTTCAACAGCTTCTGGAGTATTACAAGTAACATAAAATAAATTCCCTGTGTGATGATAGAGTCTGTTACTGCTGTATAATTCATAAAATCCACTCCTGTGAGGCTCATTAAAGGTGAATCAATAGAAAGTTCTCCAGGAATTTGGAATGAAGGTCTCTGGTCAATGAACATTGTTTTCCCCTATGGACTCCAAAACTGGTCTTGAAATGCTGATTTCTTAACTAATAATATAAAAAATAAACTTTTTGCCTGCATGCTTTCTGCTAAATGTGAATAACTTAAATGTTTAGAGCATCTCGTCTGGGAGGTGACTGTGTGAGCAGGTTTTGCCCAGGGAGCAGAGACTCCCTAGCCTAGCAGGCTCAGCTCCTAAAGGTTTATAGAAATGCAAATTACATGCTAAATAACAAAATGAAAGCAAAAAGAAGTGCTAAACTACTGAAGTGGCTCAGAATGCTAATGACAGGCTTCATTAGTGTATCCTATTATGGACAATTGCTGCAACTTTGAGCAGAATAGATATGATGACTCTCACAACAGAGTAAGTGCTGAGTGCTAGGGAATTATTTAATGTTGTTTCCTTCAGAGTCTATGTTGGACAGATTCGATGGGATGAAACCTTATATATACTTTGAGTGATATGGGCATATGAATACGTATTCTTTCAGTTAATTTTTTTGAACTTTTAAAGTGCTTTTTATTTTTTTTTATTTATTTTTTTTGAAAGAGAGAAAGGAAGAGAAGATGCAAGGCCCACCAACAGCAGCTTTGAAACTGAGTGCATCATACATAAAATAATATTCAAATCAGGAGGCCTATTTGATTTATTTCTGGAGTGTGATAACTTTCTATCTCTACTGGGATAATATGAATAAAAGGAAGTGTTAAATTCAGTGATGTTTAATAATACCAAAATAAAATTCCAGTAGCAATAAACCCTTCCTCCAGCCCTCAAATGTGATTCTGTGGTATCATAGGTTTTACACAGTTGTTTAATAATTTGATAAAATATTTCGCTATTAAAATTGTATCTCATACTTTGTGTAGGTCACAGATATGGGATGTGTGCATATGTATATAATCATCTAGTAATTTTGAAATTTTTTCTGGTAATGATCACTGTTGTATTCGAAGCCCAGAAGGTCATCAAACATATGGGATATGCTGCCTTTTCTAATAGAAAAGAATCAGCACAAATGCGTTTATGCCCCTGAAACGAGACTGATTTGTTTCAGATGTGAAAAATAAAATGAAGTGTTAAACTGCTTGCAAGTAAGAGTAATTTCTTTCTCTTCTGTTGGAAAATGCAGGTGTTTGGGCTCCGTGCAAAAAGATAAAGGCTCACAAATGTATTCTGCAGAAATCTGGAGTTCAAAGATCCATAACCCCTAACAGCATGATAACAAACAGTAGGAGGAATGCCGTATTCAGGAGCTAGCTTGAAAATTGTTCTCATGGAAAGACTGTGTGTGTGCAGGGTGTGAACAGTCACTCTGTGCATCGTTGTTTCTCTACCCTCAAAAATAGTTTTAAGATACTTTAAAATATTTACCTCTCAGAGCTCTGTAGTAGTGCTCTGTTGCAGTGCCATGTAAATTTTGGGGGCTTTTTCCTATTGGTCTAACATCAACATTTTTCACTCTCAGAAGCGAGATACAGCTCTTAAAGCAGAAACGTTTAAACTGTGTAGCAAAATGTATCAGTGCTCTGTACTTAGAAGACTTAAATGGTGCTGACTTGTAGTTAGCTTTTCTAAACAGACAGATACAGCATTTACAACACCATAAAATGAGTGTTTGCTGGAAATCAGGGACAAAACCAGCAGCTCTGATTTAACATCTGGCACATCTTACTGGGAAAGAATCTACAGTACTCCAAACATTGGCTTCTTAAAAATATTAGTATCTGCAAATCACCAGGTGTTTGTACAACAGTGCTACATCGGGCTAGGAGAAAGGTTAAGTGAAAATATTACTCCTTGAATCTGAGTTTGAGTTCTCTTGCTGTTATGTACTTGGTTAGCTGTCAGGTCACATATGATGCGCACTTCTTGCACTAAAGGGAAAGCAACTGTTTGAATCTCAGCTAAAACTTATTTTTCATATTTATAGTTTATTTTCTCATCAAAAACGGAGGTTACTGGTGAAAGTGGTATATGAGTAACATGATTACTGGTAAATAGTATACACAAGCTAGGGAACTGATCTTGGATGTGTTTGGAAGAATTGTTCTGTTATCACAAAATATTTTGTGTAACTTAAATTTACGTAATTTACTTCTAAATTAATTTTTTCTTGGGCCATTTGACTTTGTTATGACTGATATACACTTTCAAAGAGTTTACTGATATATATGAAGAAAGTTTTGCAAGTGATGAGTACTGTGATTAAATAAACTGAGAAAAGCAGGAGCCTAGCTGTTTTAATTTTAATTATTTGATACAAGAGGATAACAAAGAGCTAAATATCTTGCATTGTCTGCATGACCAATTTGTAAAAATTCTGAGATTTACAGTTAGGGAAATAAATCTTTTCCAGTCATTAAACCCTTAAGGTTACCTTTTTATTGCTGTCTGTGCAGAGTTTATCTTTGTGGAGTTATTTTGTTACGGTAAAGACACCATGAATAGTTGGTTTGAACGGCTGATTTCTCAGTTTTTGTCCACGTGTATAGTGGGTTGAACTGAAGTTGAAGATGACAAGGGACTTTGTAGCTAGAATCTTTGCGTGTTTGACTGCAATTCATTCCTTTTTTATGGCTCATGCTTTGACAAGTAAAATGTAGCTGCTTTTGCTTTCCAGAATGAATCTCAAGTGCTCCAGATGTGATGAAGCCAATTTGTGAAAAATCATGTAGGCAGAGGCAGTCAGGTTTTTTATTGTCATCCCCACCCCACACAATCCCTTATGGATGATAGCCCAGTAAAAGGTGCAGTAAAAATCAGCTTTGATTTTTGGACAACAGTTTTCTCTTCCACATCCGTTTTCTGTCAGCAAGCTTAGGTAATACAATGTAAGAAACTATAATGGCAGCTGTATTATGTATTTTGTATTACTTCTGATTTTTCCAACTCTGCATTTTAAACTTCTTTATGTGGACTACTGTCCATAGCTTTCTCAATGAGAATTTGTTCTAGAGAAGCTTCCAGTACTTAAGTCTCTGAACTGTATGTACTATATTGAAGTGGCTTCTGTGCTTGCCAAAGAAAGCAGTGAAAGCTGCCCTGGTATCACTGCAGGGCTTAAGTCTTCTCAGCAGCTTGCACATCTCTTGGGACAGATCCTGGCCGTCCTCAGTGAGGTGATGTGGTCTTACTGCCTAAAGCAATTCTAATAGGGAAATTTTGTTGGTATTCACAATGGACTTTCCAAATCATAGTAATTTTAATTTTGTTTTTCTCAGATTTCCCCAGTTTAAGCAAAGAAAACATACTTCATTTAAGATTCACTTTATATTAAATATTTCTGTTATTTCCCCACGTTATAGCTATGTGCAAACAGCTGGGATTGCACTATTCTATGTTAAAGACGATATATTAACAAAGAGAGTAAGTACTTTCATTGTAGTATTTGAGAGCTCAGTAGTAGTTGAATTTGTGAATTTGAATTTACATAGTGACTTGCATGCAGAGGTTGCTAGAGGAACCTCTCAGTGTGGAGTTGAAAACTACTTGAAAATGTTAGTGAATATAAAAATGAAGTAGCGATGCATACAATGTACACACATGTATACATGTTCACTATCAAGTATTCCAAGGTGATTCCTTCAGAATTGATTTCTAAGTGATGTACAACAATCTGGTTTCCAGTTACCTGTGCTAATTCCATCAGTTACCTTTGAAATTCATGTTAGCCTTTTTGAAAGCAGCCTGCTCCCTTTACTTCTGATTGTGTCTTGGCTGTGTGTTCCAGAGTTTTAGCTCTTGTCTGGATGCTCTTTTCTAAGCTACTTTCAGTGAGGAAAAGCATCGCAAAGGGTTTGTTACTGCCTTGTGGATGTAAATTAGAAATGCTTTAAGATAGTTATTATCTATCTTATACGCAATACCTGAACAAACACTGTCATTCTGAATTTTAATTATTTCACTGCTGGAATTCAACAGAGACCTTAAGTGCTAGACAGTTTTACAAATTGTACTGCTTATTGAGATTGAAAAAGTTTGGAAATTTTGAGTCACTGTTTCTAAGTAGTATTGGGGTGCAAAATAGATGCTAAACTAAAGGGAAGTTCTCTGCCTTTCTGTGAGAAAAACTTTCTCACAAAAGATGGGACATTTTGGAATGATCAGAAGATATAGATTAGACTTTTTGATAAAATGATTTGAGATGTAAGATAGGTACTTTGTGTTATTGTAAAATCAGAAGGAAAGAAGACAGATGTTCAGCAGAGGCTGGCCATGGTAGTAATTTAAATTATTGAACCATATAAACCATATCTTTGTGTTTATGGTGTAGATTTCCTCCTCCTTTGTATGCTCAGTGTGTACTTGTATGTAGGTGCAAGGGAAAACTGAGCAAAGGGTCTAGAGGGATACAGTGAGGGGTAGAAATACAGCAGGGCATAGCCAAGGTCGTCAGCTGCTATGTGCTGACAAAATCAGGTGAGAGCTTGCAAAGTCCTGTAGAATCCTAATAGACTCCAGTGCAGAATCCTGCAAATCTGATGGTGGTTGGCCTCTGACAAGCATATAATTCTAGAAACACAAGGAATGAAAGCTTTGAAGATGATGCATTTGCATGCATGTGTGCGTTTGGGGGAGAAATAGAAAAGGAAGAAGAGAGCTTTCTGGCTATTCATTTACTTTCATCATTGTTATTTTTATGCACCTGCTAGTAATATGTATTCTCTAAAAATATCTTTACGTTACAGTTGATGTATTCTCGTGAAAATGCAGCTCTTCCAAAAACAATCTGCATTTCTGAAGCATTTTATGGTTGATGACTGTATCATAACTTACATGTTTTCTTAACCCTGTGATGTGTGAGCCCATGCATGGATGCTATGTGCTCCCCTTTCCATTCTTTATTTTCTCTCCGTCTTTCCTCAGCTGGGGAAAGAGGGCCATGCTACCTGTACTTTGGATTCTCCCAGCACAGGAGTGAAAGATTCATTTTCTATCTCTATATAAGGCGAGATTAGAGTGTAGCCTGTTTCTACTTATTTAGGAAAACAAAGCAGTATAACAGGAAAAATACTAAACTGCCAATATCTGAACTCTTCTCAAATGCAAAGATGACCCCATAATTTTCCCCTCCTGGAAACTTTCAACTTCTCCTTAGCCATCCCCAGTTGAACCATTTGGAGCTTGGCTTGTAAATCCCTGAGTCAGATTCTGAAATAATTTTTCCTATCCAGTTGCACTGGAATTGCAGTTTAGTTAAACACAGATTTGTAATGTGACTGATGTGCTGGTAAGAATGAGCGAAGGTGCATCAGAAATGCAAATTTTTCAATGCTCCTGTACAAATGACCCATTGCTTTTGTTTTACAGCACAGTTAAGTAGTGTGTTGCTGTGTTTTTGTTGGTTGCTATGAGAAAATGAAGAGAATTCTAATCTTCTTGTCTTTTTGCAGATTTATGCATAGAATTCCCTGGAATGTGAGTCATTAGTGCAGGTGAGAATCTTTCTCAAAAGAAATATAGCTGGATGATTTCCTTTTGCACATTCAGTCCTCAAAAAGCTTTCTGTTGAGACCAGATATGTTGGCTTTTTTTTTTTTTTTTTTTTTAAATAACAGTTGCAACACCTACTGTTCAGTAGTTGGCAAACACCTGTTGTTTTTTGATGAGTTTATTAGTGTTCAATAACGGATGGAAATTTGAATGCTTTAAGTGATGTATTGTAGTCTACAGTAATTCTTACCTCCTTTTCCACATCTTCAACACAGAAGTAGTAAGTACCAACACAGAATCAGTAAATGCCAAAGGTGCAGAGGAATATCTGGAAAAGGAAAATGGGGGTACAAACGGGCTTATATAGCTTAGAAACCTGGCAATATTGCACACTAGTCCCACAGCATATGTAAGTGTTAGCCTTGATATGTGGTTGTTTATGCCATGTAATTCTCCTTTAAGCCATGCCCACCAGGTCAGGCAAATTCTTCTCTTGCAGACAGCTGTCAGGAGAGGTTGCTATCTTGATGGACTGAATACTTGCCACAGTAAATTATAGTATGTTAATTTAAAGATTACTGGTAGGCAAAACACTTCTGTCTAGTGCCATCCATCTTATG